TACTTAAAGACAATTACCCGCGATCAAGTATACGGGTAATTGGTGCTCAGTCATGGATAAGTGGCCCATAAGTAGCTCCTCAGTAGAAAAAGGGGCAAAAAAAACCTTGGGAACATCCTAAACATCCCCTCAGCAGTGCGGTGGCGTCTTGGACAAGTATGTCGGACGTGAAGGACGCGCTCTCATAGCGATTGGAGCGCAAAGCTTGAGCCGTGGGACCGTGGCGTGAGCGCCAGGCAATTCCTGGCCAAGCGATGCGATATTCGTGTTTGGAGGTTGAAGGTCTGGAAACAAATTTTTAGCCTTTTTTTGAAAAGCTCGATAGTAAAACTGGTCTGATGTCGGAAGATTGGGGTAGTAACAATTGAATAGTGCCCCCATCTAAAAGATCATTAGGTGAGTCTGAGAAACACACTAACTGCTCTTCATTTCACATCCTCCTCGTTGAAATCGCGCTTGCGAAGAGTATGGAAGACGAACTACCTGCTCTTCAGTTCACGTCCTTCCCATCGCTTGCAGAGTATGAAACTCAAGAAAGGCTTGCTGCTCTTTTGTTCACATCCTCCTAATTGGAATCGCGCTTGCAAAGACTATGGAACCCTAAAACAGCCTAAGTCGTCTTCAGTTTATGTCCAACGGTGCGAGGTTTGCGCTTAATCGCTATGGAAAGCGCGGATCACCGAAGATGGCGCTGATGGGCGTCGCGTGCGACGTCGCGTCCGCAAGTGACGATAGTTCAGGTCGTAGATGGCGACAACAGGCAATGTAGGCAGTCGGACAGTGTAGTCATAAATGTCTTTACTTTCGTAGCCCACGTGATTTTCGGTGCTCTAATTGACAGGCTGACATTAGTTGAGAAAACACTGCTCCCATCGCCGTGCACAGCAGAGCGGCAAACACGATTATCTTGCCCGTCTCCCAAAAGATGGCAGTGCCAGAAGCGCCGCGAGCGACACGTTGCGCGTGCGGGTTTGTTCAGCGAATGGAAGCTTGTGAGTCTTGTATCAACTTAATACTCCTATCCTCTGCACGCTCCTGCGACCTGATTTCTTCCATCTTGCCTCTATATCTCTTTGAAGGGTACTCTCTCGTGAACGCGGGTTTAAAGGGCGGCGTATACTCGCGGCAGCGTAGCGTAGCGCTTCCAGCGTACGCCAGCGGCAGTGCCGGGAAAAGGATAGATATCGATCTAGCTTCACCAGCGTCACCAGCGTACGCTGGCGTAGCGAGGGCACGGGAAGCATAGCTATCGATCTAGCTTCACCAGCGTTTCTCCAGCGTTTTCCCAGCGCTTGCAGCGACGGGGCTAGAGAGGGGCTAGAGAGTATTGAAGGGAGGAGAGTATTTTGTACTCTCCTACTTTCAATACTCTCTAGCCCCGTCGCTGCAAGCGCTAGGCGCGAGGGCTAGAGAGTATTGAAAGTAGGAGAGTACAAAATACTCTCCTCCCTTCAATACTCTCTAGCCCCGTCGCTGCAGGCGCTGGGAAAACGCTGGTGAAGCTAGATCGATAGCTATGCTTCCCGTGCCCTCGCTACGCCAGCGTGCCGCTGGCGTGCGCTAGCGGCACGCTAGCGTACGCTGGTGACGCTGGGAACGCTAGATCGATATCTATCCTTTCCCCGACACTGCCGCTGGCGTACGCTGGAAGCGCTACGCTACGCTGCCGCAAAGTATAAACACAGCCTAACAGTTCAAAACACGGAGTCACTTTGAGGACCACATGATCGCGGGAAGTGCCTTTAATCGGAAATAATGACCCCCGAGGTGTCCGTAATGGAAATTGCAAGATATCACTTGAAAAACGTTTGGAACATACATCACACTGTCCACGGCCGTAGCAAACCATTCCCGCGTGTTCAAGTCCTGGACACTTCGAACAATCGCTTCCGTAATGTCCATCAGGGCAGCATACTGAAAACGACGAAACATTGAAGGCTATGGTACTAATACTATTAGGTTGTCCGGAAAGTTCTCAGCGTTTTGTGTTACTATTTTTGTACATTCACTTGCTGATTGAAAACTCATTCTCCCTTGCGTCTCAGTAGTACTGGGTTGGCACATAAGTAATGGCGTTTTTCAATTAGAAATTTCGTTTCAAAGTGAAATGTTTTGCAAGCAAGCTTGATATCATCCGATAGGAAACTTCTTGTAGTATAAATATCAAAACATTTTCGGATGAGGAATAATTTTTGTGAACTTTTTAGTCGTTGAAGTTGAAAGTGAAGTCGGCGAAAAATTAGCACCTTCGACAACTGCCTCTATTTACGTCCAGTCGAAGTGCTAAAATAACTTAAGCGGCTCCATACATTTGGAAAAGGTTTAGCTAGAAGTCTTCAGCAAGGGAATGTCAATAGGACGCTTTGGAACGAATTTCAAGAATTTCAAGTTGGCAACCTTCACCTCGCCGATTTTGGCGGCTCACGTCTGTTCCACCTGAAATTTTATGCTAATAGCTGAATGTTTCGTTGATATGTTTTGCATATTTTAACAGCCAATTTCGTGCTCTATAACACTGCAGTGGAAATCTGTTTTCCAGAGCTGTTTGCTTCCTGTTAATTTCAGGTTATCATTACGGAACGTGAGGTCGATGAGAATTAGCGTTCCCGATTTCCACGAATTTTATGCTAATAGTTGAATGTTTCGCTAATGTGTTTTGTATGCTCATTGCATAAAGAAAATTTCGTGACTGCTATGCAGTTATTCGAAAATCCGTTTGATTTTCTTGTTTTCTAGGTTGGGATATGGAATCTATGGATTTTTATCGAGAAAGCATTGAGCTGCTGACTGGTCGGTGGGAGGAGGTTGTAAGAAACAATGGGGATTATATCATTGACTAGTTTATTGTAAATACATATATTTTTTATAGTGTTGTAATAACTGTGTTTAAAAAATATTTGCCAAGCGTAAAACAAAAAAAATATGAATATGAGGGTCGACCATGTCTGCAAGGTCAACGTTGTCAATTGTGCTTTTTTTCCAGAATCATTGTGAGCGGTCCTAATACTAATCTGTTGCTCTATGCCTTACTCAAACCATGGCGATTCTATTGAGCTGCTCCAAGAGCTTTGAAGCTACAGTGGACAGCGGTAGGGAGAGGAAGTCGGGAACGCTGATTCTCATCGACTTGACATTCCGTAATGATAACCTGAAATTAACAGAAAGTAAACAGCCCTGAAGATTAGATTTCCATGACAGTGTTATAGAGCACGAAATTTGCTATTAGAATATGCAAAACATATCAGCGAAACATCCACCTATTAACATAAAATTTCAGGTGGAACAGACGTGAGCCTCCCAAAATCGGCGAGGTGAAGGTTGCCAACTTTGAAATCCTTGAAATTCGTTACGAAGCGCCCTATTGAGATTCCCTTGCTGAGACTTCTAGCTAAACCTTTTCTAAACGTATAGAGTCGCTTAAATGATTTTAGCACTTCTAGTATAAATAGAGGCATTTGTCGAAGGTGCTAAATTTCGTCGACTTCACTTTCAACTTTAACGACTAGAAAATTCACAAAAATTATTCCCTCCACCGAAAATGTTTTGATATTCTTATACTTCAAGAAGTTTCCTATCAGATGATATCAAGCTTGCTTGCAAAACATTTCACTTTTTGAAACGAAATTTCTAATTGAAAAAAAACGTCATTACTTATGTGCCAACCCAAGACATCCTCAAGAGAATTTTTTGTGCTATCTGAAAGTATAAATGCCGTTTCACCATTGCTTGATAAACCCCCTTTTCCCCAAGACTTTTTGAAGCATGTCAAAAGAGCAACTTCGGACGATATTTTTCTTCAACTACAAATTGGGTCAATCCGCAGTCGAGACAGCTCGACAAATTAACCAGGTGTGGGGGCCCAATAGTAGAGAAGCACCGTGCGACAATGGTTCGACAAATTTCGTTCTGGAGATTTCAGCCTTGAAGATGAACCTCGTAGCGGTCGACCTAAAGCAATACCTGACGAGGATTTGAAAAACCGGAGGATGGGCGTTGTGGAGGCTGACCCATCCCAAACAGTTCGAGAGATTGCAGAAAAGCTAGGCGTTGGCAAATCCACTGTTGCGGATGGTCTGAAACGCATTGGGAAGGGGAAAACTCGACAAGTGGGTGCCCAATTAGTGACCGGCAGAAATAGGCACGTCTCGAGGTTTCTTCTTCAGTGCTTTTGCGCAGCAGAAACGACCCGTTTTGGACCTCAACGAATTGTCACCTGTGATGAAAAATGGATCATGTATGATAACAGGAGACAGTGGTTGGATGCCGCGGCCACGGAACCACCGAAGCTTCCAAGCGAATCCTCACGACAAAAAGATTATTGGTCACAGATGTGGTTTGTCTTCGTGCTGTGTGATACCACTTACAAACTTTTGTCACCCAGGCCAAACCATCACAGCAGAGTCCTACTGTGAAGAAATCGACGAAATGTACCGAAAATTGCGTCAGCTGCAGCCAGCACTTGTCAACAGAAAAGGCCCGATTAGCTTGCATGACAACGTCCCCACACGTTTCACAAATCACTATCCATAAACTGAGCGAATTGGGGGTTGAAGTTCTACCTCACCCCGACTATCACCTTTTCAAATAATTTGAGAACTTCCTTGCTGGAATCTTTATCCAATCAGCGACCAAGCCAAAAAAGTCTTCGTGGATTTCGTGAATCTCGACCACCCAGTTTTTTCTTTGATGGATTTATCGACTGGTGTCACATTGGCAAAAGTGTGCTGATTCGAACGGTGCTTATTTCGATTAAATCCGATGAGTATTAAGAAAGTTATGATCGTTTAAAGTGAAACACTCAAAACGCTGAGAACTTCCGGGCAACCTAATAGCATACCCGTGCCGCAAACAAATCTTCCAATACGTCTGTGATCCCTCGTCCATAATGTCCATTGCAAAAATAATGGAAAACTTACATTTCAGGTGCGAACACACAACCACGTTGACATATTAGACGACTGATGCTTGTAGTAGAATTCTTCAATAATATCTTCATGTTCTTCCACGAGAAAGGCACACTAAAATGAGTAGCAGTAGGGTTGTTCAACAGACTTTTACAATATCAACCCGTAATGATCAGAACAACAATTGAAGCACCATTTAATTGAGAGTAAGCTTGAAAACAGACAAAGTAGTGGATATACTTAAGGTAAAAAAGGTCAAGACGTTATGGTTAGCTTGCTTACCATGGCGTGCCTTAGCCTACTAAGTTGTTGCAAAATGGGTCGGATAAACAGATTTTAGATGTTCTTCAACAGCCTTGAAGAAACAAAATAATCTGTTCGAAGTTGGTTCCCTCCCCCTCCAAAGCGAAAAGGTATTTCATCCCTTAAGGTGAACTAATTGCACCAAACCAGAGTTGGGAGAAGAAATAATCTACGCTGCATATGGGTCCGCTCCGGGAAGTTATTGTAAAGTTTATAAACGCCCCGCCCCTTCCATCTAACTACGATTCTCAAAAGAGGTCAACTGGGAATACATATAGAAAAAAGAATGTTCAGCGAAAAATATCTATCCTTTCTTAGCAACAATGATGAAATCAATGAAGATTGATTTGGCTGAGAAGAGCATACGAAAAGTTGAAAGAACCTTGGCTTCCAGATCTGCAAGACCGTTAAACCTGTCGGTATTCTTCAACGAGCTTTTATGGCAAATATCCTCCATCGTCTCTATGAATCGTGTTTCACTAAACAAACAACATAGAAGATCAACTAACGAAAACTTTGAAAAACAGGTTACCTTGTAGCGTATTTTCCTAGCTTCCGCTCTTCCCAAGCTGTATCACCACCAGCAAAATGGTGCCGAGCAGTTCTTCGGAGACCCTCAAACAGACAACTCTTCACCAATGAAGTCAAAAGCAGACAAAGCTTGAACAACTTCCCACATTCTATTGCCATTACTGCTATTTGAAAACCAAGCTTGAAAGGAAATCAAGCTCGAAAGGAACGAAACTGGTACTATCAACAAGGCGTAAAAAAGCAGAAAAGAGCAGAGCGTTCAAATCCAGAATCATTTGTAAGATGTTGGGCGGCGGCAGTGTAGCAGCAAATGGCCCGTTTTCAGCGCGCATGGTCTGGGAGTCGAATTCTGTATCGGCCCCGCTCAGGTCAATCATACTTCCTACCCCCTCGGGGAACAGCGACTTAAGTTCCTGAAAAAAAAACAAAGTGCTAAATTGTACGTTGGCTGGTTCTGTAAGACATTATAAAGGGGATATAGTACAGCATATGCTACTGCGGTTCTGAATGAAAATAGAATGCGTGCCATATCACTAGCTGCGGCGTTAGACTGCGCTCATACCTACCGACGTCATTGCCGACGTAGACGTAACTGACGTAATGGGCGACTGTGCTGCGTGGATGAGATACGTATCGATCCGACGTAATGGACGTAACGGGGGTAATCGACTTAAATGACGCACCGGCGATAGAAGATTAGATACGTATCCACTGACTTCGAAAACGTTGGTTACGTCAACGTCACCGAGTAGTTGCAAATTATACACGCACCCTTATCCTTTCACCCAGAAAGCTGGCAGAAGCACCACCGATGCCGTTGCAGTTCCTCCAGCCACAAAACCCAAATGAACTTCTTTCAGTATTCGGGTAATACATCCACTGAAGGCCTGGGAAGAGCTTCCTACAGTTCCTACAATGTTTCCATCGGAAGAGATGCTTGTCTGCTCACGCGTCATATGGAGCAGGATGAATACGTCGTCACACCGTTCAGAGATAGACACGATTTTACCAAGAAACTTGAAATAAGGTTGGCGAAGTTACCATGCATTGGACATATGCATATGCCATGACCGTTAGACCAGCGCGAATACCGACTTGATTTTAGAAATAGTCAAACGATTACTTCTCCATGAAAGGTAGGGAAACCAAATCTATGCATCTGTTCCTTGTAAGCAAAGAATGCAGTGAACTGCACCGGTTTGCAACACTGACAAAAAGTCACTTTGACAGTGACACTCAGGAAGTGAAACTGATGAACGGGATGACGATCGGTAGGTAAACAATTTCTTTCTTTCCACAGAAAAAAAGTTTCATGAAAAAATTCACATAAATTTCGATCTCGATATGTTATGCAACAATATCCTACCTGCAAGCAGGGCACGTTATACGTTAGAGAACCCCTAAGCAGGAAATGGAGGGGGGGGGCAGATTTGGTCGCTGGAGGGAAGACGGGTCGTATTTGGTCCGGGAAAGTTCTGGGATTGTTTATTCTTTCATTTTCATTTCAGACACAATATTCTTGTTGACACAGCTACCACGTAGTTGATTGAGGGTCTCCATCCGCTCGACGACACACTACACTTTTGAAAAATGTTAGTAAACGCCTAGGTAAGATGTGAGGGGTCGTATTATTGAAAATTCTCTCCAACTTCAGAAAGGGCCCTGCCTGCAAGCATGCCGCTTAATTTGTGAACAACCATTCAGAAATTATAGTAGGTTACATCTCCGTTTTGGAATCAAACATGATCCAAGACTTAGCCTCCTAGACATGTCAGCAACACGTCTAAGGCCGCGTTCATAGCTTGCGACCATGAAGAAATGCAGAAATGAGAAGTGCGGAATCTGCAGAAATGACGAAAAGCAATAGATACGTATCGATTTGAAGAAATGCAGAAATGCCGAAAGTGAAGAAGTGCGGAATCTGCAGAAATGCCGAAAGTGCGGAAAATCGATACGTATCGGTTGCTTTTCGTCATTTCTGCAGATTCCGCATTTCTTCATTTCTTCATGGTCGCAAGCTATGAACGCGGCCGACGAGGATACGATTTCAAGTTAGGCAAGTCAGCCATGGAATTTCATAGAGCGGTTTGACCACACCGACTGAGCAGATATTTTGATAGTT